ACAAGAGGTTGTTCAAATACAGAGTTTTTTTGTCAGTGTCAGTATTTTGTATTAGTTTATTGTGTTTCTATAATGTTCAATGTCACAACGAAATCCCCGCATAGACAATTTTATGTTTTACATTTTACTGTACTAATAGCTCTGATGAAAACGTTTCGACTTCGAAATTCAAAAAAGGGTGATAAATACAATTTTTTCGGTAAGTATATGGAATGTTTATTTTTACAATGATGACTATTTGCTCTATTATCAAAATGGCATACAACTAATGTATAGTTGAAATTGCTATCCTATCTATATTACATTACTACAACTATTCTTGTATAGTGTGTTCACCACCGATTATTGAAAAAGAATTTGTAGTGTATGTAGATAATGTTACGTAATGAGTTTATTTTAAAATGAAACACGAATGATTGTTGTTTAAAGGGTCAATACGGACATTTAACTTAACTGATTCAGTGAACTTTTACTATTGTCCACGGATAACTACAAGAATAAACTGAATATTCAAACTGACACACATTTTTTTATAATGTAAGTGGATGTCGTTGGGAGGACTTACGAGTTTTTTATGGGGAAAAACAAAAATTGCGGAACTTTTGAACCATAAAACGAGAGTTGCGCCTTTTGGTTAACCGTTTATAGGACTATAACATACTACATTTTAATCCAAATTGTTACTGAAGAGTTTGTGAGAATCAGGTTATTCCGTTATTTTATGGGGTTTTATGAGAAAATTAGACTACAATTAAAACCCCGAATTAAAATTTACTCTCCTAAATATACCATAGTGACCATAACGAAATGTTTCTATAAATCGGACAACATGTATAGTCTGTAGCACTGTACGCATACATACGTATACATACACACATACATACCCTCGAGGACCACGTTTTTTGGTTCATAAATCAAAAGGACCCAAAATTTATATTTCCACCAAAAAATCTAATCGGAAAAGTTTGACGAAAACAATACTTTCTGTAAATAATGTTTCGGCTACCCTAGAGAAAGTACTTAAATTATTTGTTTATATACAAGTCTCATAATGTTTCCCGTACTTCTAACATCCGCAAACTTGTATTGGTGGTTTACCAATTGTTCGCAATTATTTCCCATACGTTAATTGCATAGTGAAATGTAATACTTGATGTATGTTATCAAGTATTACATTTCACTATGCAATTAACAGTTCTGACAACGGGATATTCGATTCTCGCTCGAAACTCGCAGAATCAAATGTACAGGGAAAAGAATTTAAAGTTGGTGCGTGTTCGGGGGATGATTGTGAGGGGGAGGGGTGGTGAGGTCCGCAACACCACACCCCTACATGCGCGCGCACCCTGTATGTATTGATCCTACATCAACTTACTACGTTGTACGTATTTGTATCAAAGTTACTATTGCCAGTGCATCCGTGCACTTTACATGCGCTGCACTGACGAATGTTACAATCCGTAACAATTTGATTACGTCAATGAAGTTTTGTTACAAAGTCTTCCAAGTTTTCCATTTACAATAATTGTATTAGTTTGAGTTGTAAAATATTCTAATTCAGGAACTGCCACAACTTGAACGCGTTCATTCTAAGTATTTTGCCACGTAAAGTTTTTCTTTACATAAATTTACATAACTTTTCTACTATTTGCAATGGTTGAATTGTAGTTAAGATTGAAAGTCAAATATTTTATTGTGAGAAATTCAACAGATTTTTAGTGAAATTCCCACTGTTTGCAATAATTTTAATTAGTATTGTTGCACTGAATTCTTGGTCTTCGTGAGAGTAGCTTCAAATTGGTCTTATGTACCATCAGTCTCAATATTATCTTTGCTAAATCATAGTGTGATGCGTATGGTTTTGTACATAGTGTAAATACCGATTTGGCGCGCCCCTCAACAAGAAAACACCAGCCGCTTATTGCAAGATTATTGTACTAGTTTGAGCATAACGTTGAACCATGTAACTACAAATCAAACAGTTTCATTGATTATAAAATGTTTTGGTTGTATTGTAGTTTGAGGCAAAATATCATACTTTGATCAATTCAACAAATAAGAAAACTTCGAATAAACGTCTTTCTTTAAGGATTACTTTGAGATGTTTGTGCGCTTTTATACCCCAAAGCAACGCGCTGCTATTGTAGCGACGATTTTCTATATTATATCTGCTAAAGTGTTGCTGGTTAAATTATTGTGTAAAATACTTATAGCGACGACTTGGAAGATGTATACCTCACTAAAATGTATTTTATTATGAAACAGTAATATTTTTCTGTTTAAATTTTGTTAATGCATTATTGATGGGTACAAAAATATTACATAACATTTCTAAACAAATATTGTATACATTATGAACATTGTGCAATCCAACAGAAGAGCCATCAAAATGCTATTGACTATGCAATTTATAGTTTGGACAGCTATGATACATCACTTGTCATTCCGATTTTCAACCTCCAATATTGACAACGACCAACCTCAATGCGAATGTGATTGACCAGTGTATTGCCAACAAAGGTTTGATATAGTCTGTATAATGGAACTTGACTGCTGATTCTCGTTGTACCTGGGGACTGGTCAATGATTTAAGGCCTGGGATACAGGTTCCATCCTTCAGACTATATGTCAGGTATCAGGAAGCCAGTTTGATCTTGGAAATAATCCTAAGGGGTACTGATAGTTTTTAGACAAAAATGTAGTCTAAAGCCGAGAAACCATTCGCGCAATGGTGGTTTTAAAGGTATACCAACTACCTGGCAATTTTGGTTGGTAATTATGTTAAAGACACGGGTCAAAACATTGTTCACTATACAAAACCTTCAAAAGAAAGTTAAAAATAGTTTGAAGATACAAAACTTTTCAAAACTGTTTTACATCTAGCATAGAGTACCATTGTTCATCCATGGTACATTGTGGGAAGAAATCCATGTGTAGAACAAATCATTAACAAATATTGATTATCCACTGATTTGTTGTAGTAGGAGTTATCTTTATTTGTATATCTCTAACATAACAGTCAATAATAGCAACAGGAAACCGATACACTGACTTGGTTCCTTGGTTCTAGAGAAGAACTGTTTGTTAAGATAACTGTCCATAAAATGAACTGTTCATGAAACGGTTAGTCAATAGTTTATCAAGTGTCTGTTATATGTTCAAATGATTCTTTAGATAACCCTTCATCAAGCCAATTCTTCATGATGAGCAAAGGTTAATCTTAACGGTTAGGGATGAAAATCTGAACAAGGTGAATGATCATGGCATGTTTAACATTTAATATTCTCAAGATAAAGCGTTCATTTAGGAAGAAACTCTTTGATCATGGGAGGGGCTGTTGGTTAGTTAACTGTTTATGGTGTGAAAAGTTTAGGGAAACCATTTTTTTATGAAATGACGATGAGCTGTAAAGTTGAAGGGTTTTAACGTATCATGTAGTAGATTGTTCATGAGGTAATTTTAGCCACAAGTTTTCAACTTTTCAAGTCAAATTTGTATCAGAGTATGAGTTTAATTCTTGAGCTGAACTATCTGTAAGAAGAATTGTTCTTTGTCTAAAGAGAGGTTGATGGAGTTTGTACTTCCAAAATTGTTGCTGAGGTAGCTCTAGCTAAAAACTTGTAATTAATTTCCTTTTAATTATCATTGCCGATGACCAGATGATCTGGATAGTCTGTGTCAAATGCATACAAGCTATCTTGGATTGCGGATGACTCCTCTCCAAGGTTCCTTCATAAACTAATCCACACCCCACACCAAATAGAGGGTTTGCCAGTAGTCTCTCGTATTAATGTTTTGAACTGGGCATTGTTCGCTCGCTTGACTACAAGTCCTACAAGAAGCTTGCCTTGCTGCAATGTTCCTTGAAATGAGTTGTTGCTTGACATAGATAGAAATCATAATTACCAATGTTATTGCTGTTGCAGGTCTAGAACTGGGGCTGCAGTTCGGAGTGGAGCCTGAAGGCGGTAAATTCGTCCCCGGACGGATGAAATGATTCGGATGGATGCTACGCGCCCCCTTCACATTGCGAGCTACGTTTCAAACGTCCACTCATTCGCGCATGCGCATATGGAGTTGGCCATTCCTACTACAATCATAGATTAAACATACTTCCTCTTACAACTCAGTGAAGGTGTGCAAAATGTCTGAGCCTTCTTTCCCATGGTGTCAACCCGGATTTTCTGTTCTGTGGATTGATTCAAGTAGTGATGATAGTGACGACGAGGTTGTAGGCCCTACTTTTGTACTCATTATCAAAAAGGAGAAAGTGGGTTCATCCAATTAACAGTAAGCGGCAGCGATTTGGTGAATCATTGTAATAATGCAAATAATCAAAGTACAAATCTAATAATGATTTACTGTACAGTAATTCGTATAATATACATGGTTATTGGTTAGGATACTTTATTCTCTTTGTAATCTCTGTGGAGTGTAGTCGCAATTTCCAACCAAATTTTATCTTTCTCTTGTTGATCTCTATAAATTTCTATAGTTGTATCCCAGATAACTGGGTAGGCACGGACAGCCTCAATTAATTCAGCCATAACAAACAACAAGGGAGGACACAAAACAACAACTAGATGAACACTATGACTGTAAACACAAACTACTGAACACTGTGATGCGAGTGACACATGCCTCGCTGAGAGCTACTGCTCTGTCTGCGCATGCGCGAGGGCGTGATCGTCCGCGGACGTTTTAGAAAAATCGCTCCCAGAGCGATTCCACCAAATCGTCCACGGACGAATTTCTGCATCCGCGGATGGACGCTACGTTTCAATGGGCGGTGTGAACGGTCCCATCTGATAACATGGGCAGCGATTTATTTTCGCATCCGTCCGCGGACGAAGAAATCGTCCGCGTATGCCAGTGTGAAACCGCCTTGAGGACCTTGTGGCGAGCTGCAACAAGCCTGCGCTGCTACAACGTTCCTTGATTTGAACTTTTGCTAGACATTGGTAGATGGAGATATGTTACCAACATTGTTGCTTTTGCAGGTCTAGAACTGGGGCTGCAGTTCGGAGTGGAGCCTGAGGACCTTGTGGCGAGCCGCAACAAGCCTGCGCTGCTACAATGTTCCTCTCCCTCTCCCAATGTCACCTTCCAATGGACCCTGGACGACAAACTGCTTCCTCTCGTCAACAACTCTCGCATCCAACTTTCCTCCAACGGATCACTCATATTCAAGAAGGTAAGTTAGATAGCCATCATGTTACTAGAAATACTTTGATGGTTTTATGTGGGTCTTGGCCAATGGCTCAGTCAGTATTACTGCCTCGGTAGTGCAATAAAAATTGTTATTCCCTATTGGATCACCACTTGCTTTGCTTGGCACCACATTCCAGAGGACTATAGGTAGACAAATACAAGGTTGAAAGTAGCTGCAAACCTCTAGCTTATTTTTAATATACAAAGTGTAATCCTACAAAAATTGTCAAAATAATCTGAACTCTTTTAATACGAAAAACTAGTGTGAGACTTTTACCATACAAACGTAGACACACCTTATTTGATAGCTAGTCTTGTGGTGTACTAGCTTTAAATATTGTAATTCTAGATGTTTGCTGAAATGCATTTTAATCAATCACCTATTGGAGATACTATACAATGAGATATATTCTTTTATGCGTACAGTATCTCTTTTCTATCTTTTCTTATAGAAATTGAGTCGTAAGCAGTCTAACAAAGTCTTTAATTTTGATTGTGACAGACAAAGATTGAAGTCTAAATCCATCCTAGTACCAAACACTTTCCTTAGAACTAACTTCTTTCATTAATCATTTTACTTTTTTTACAGAAAATACCAAAAAGTAACATTTTTTAAGTAGTGTCAATAGATTTTGGATTTTTAAGGTTTTCTATCAGCTGATTTTTCTTGCTACACATTTTATGTTATTTTTCTACCTTTTGACAACAATCCTTGGACTTAAATGTCCTGAATGATACAGGTTCTACACATTTCCACACTCATCATAAAGACCAAAAATTACATTTACATCTACTCTAAGTTGACAAAATTAATTGGCAAGTAACATTTTATAATTTTTGTAACTTTTAAAAATTTTAAGGCGATTCCATAAACTAAGGCTTTTTTAATTGTGAATCGATGATTTTGTATTGTGTTATGTTTTTGAAACCGGTAAACTCCAGTTTTGATGGTCCAGAATGTTTGAGTCCGGTTTAAATTTCACAAGTTAGAAGAGAAGGATGATTTAGTCCCTTCCTTATCTCCTTACAATCCTTTCTGCCTTATGAGTTTCCTCTTCCCAAAGTATTGTAATTAGACACATCCCTCCCGACTGCAGATCAACTTTAAATTAAACTTTAGCTGTGTAAATTGCCTCCAATTCTCCCGGCAACTGTTTCAATTCTTCCTCTATTAGCGCTTACAGGTCTTAAACTGTGTATCAAGTATTAGATTTGGTGTAATCAGAAAATGTATGTATTAGATTACAATGTTGCGTTGTTAGATGTTGAGTAGGTGTTACATTGAATATATTTGTGTAAGCAAACTACATGAAAAACAGTTTTATTTGATTTACACATTGAAAAATAAATAGTACACAAGAAGGAGCGCACTACAGATTGGCCACATATATAAAAGGAATACAATTTAAGCAATAACAATAGTCCCAGTTTCCCTCGACCAAAAACAGATAGATTGTTGTACACTCTTTCTGTGCGGAAATGGCATTTTATTTTTCAAAACCCAAAGGGTTCAAGGGAGAGCAAAATGTATTTTCAGCTAAAAACTTCATTTAATTTTTGTTTTGTTTTTTTAATATTACAGTGAACCTTGACAACCAGATTCTTAAAAATGATAGAAATTTTAAATTTATTGAATCATAGGTAGTGTTAAATATATGTTTTTAAGTATTTTATGGCAACAATTAAAGTGTGTCTTAATAATATGATCATAATATGTCCTCAAGTCTTACTAACAAGGTTCTACTTCTGCTCCACAAACTCTGCATGTTTGGAAAACAAATTAACTGACTTTGGATAATTCTGTTTTGAAGAAGCTATATTAACATGTTTTAGGTTTTGGCTAGTTTTATATTAAAAAATGACCATAGCTGAGTTGAGCCAGTGATAAAAGGTGCTGCTGTTAAGTAGGTATTGTTTCTGCGCTTGAAATGTATGCAACTGATTATAATCTATAGCTTCATTATGGTACATCATGTATTCCTATCTCATAAAAATATCATAGAATAGAGTTGTAACAGTAGCAGGTCTCTTTGGAGAAGAAATTAAGCTTGATAGAAGGGAACTGTAAAGCTAACCTTTTTTATACTTTTAATGCTGGGCTGTCTTTTTAGCCTATGTCACTGGTAAAAATTATTAACATTTCAACACATCAATATTTCATTTTTGACTTTCAATAGTGGGCTGTCTTCTTCAATATCTAAAATCAATTAGTGATAAGTGATACCAAAATTGCTCAATATGAACTTTAAGTCTCAATGGTGGGCTGATTCCGTATTGAATGTCAGTGGTACAAGTTGTAGATAAACAACTCATCAAATAGACTTATTTAACTGTAGTTTTGAGATGAACCACTAACAGAAGATTTTACTTACAGTTATTCCACAAGAAGGCAGGACATGGAGTTTCTGATCAGGGAGTTTATCGCTGCATCGTCAGGTCCAATGTTGGTGCGATCATCTCCAGGCCTGCAGTGCTGCGGTTTGCCTGTAAGTGACAACATCTTTACTTTAAGAGATTGGTAGATTGATAACCAAATAGTGTAGCACAGAGTTTCAAATCGAACAGCCTTGACACACTTAATATTCAGTAAGATTAAAATCTACTTACTTAGTAGTTGGCATGCAAATGTTGACCGGTCTTGATGGACCCACAAGTGCATACGCAAATGTAAATACCCGCAATAGTGCAAAATAACTTTTCCGTGTGTGAATGTGTGTACATATGCGACAAAAGCAGTTTAATAAGATTTATTTTAGGTTTTTCATTTGCTGCTGAAGATGAGCTGTCATAGCTAACATGTACAGTAACCCTACTAGACATTCATTCATTTAGTTTGGTAATTCATTTTCAAGAGATAATCTATTATTTACATGTCTGCCAACTATAAGTAGATTAAAATAAGTAGCACCCAGTCTTTAGACTATTTGTATAATTCGTAGAGAGTTCAATCATAGACAACTTTTTAACTGTGGAGTTAAGTTAGGTTTAGGGATTTGAGAACTGAAATCTTTGCCTCTGTATAAAAATAAACGTGCCAAAACTGGCGTATATTTTACACAAAATACTTAGAATAACACTTATGAAAGCAACAAATTCCCAAAACATTTAACAGATTATTTTTTCCATCGCTCAGTTTTTTTTTTTGAAAATAAAAGTTTTCTTATCAATTTACAATAATTAACATATACCTACAGACCACATTTAGATATACTATACGACACATAGAACACGTACAAGTTTGTATTGTTATACATTTTAAACTGGCAGTGTATACTTTTATATCTCTGGTTGTTCAATTGTTAACAGCTAATATTACCAAGTAATTCCATTTTAGAGACCAAACCAAGCTGTAACTATGTAAAGGACAAAATAATATCTGAATTTGTAAACATTACCAGTCTTTCCACCCAGACTCAGATGCATTTTAGATTCTCTAAAATTAAAAAGATAGAAAAAGCTAGTTGTGAGTTCATTTTGAAACAAACACCACAGAGAAATAGTTTTTGTTTGTCTGTACATTAACAACCATGTTAATTGTAATATTTAAACACTAACATTTAAACATGTAAGGTAAAATATTTATTCAAGTACATTTGTTACATGTTCACATTTATTTAGGTTTGTTTGTTAGTTTCGCTTTTGGAAAGGTTGTGGATGTCAAAATAAACAAAGTTTACCAAACAATAGTTTCTTGCTATTTTACTAGCTAAACGCAAAGGTCAAACATTTCAGGTTTTATTTAAACTTTGCTCTCATTATACATAAATTTGTTAAAATTTTAAATAGTTTTTCATCTATCTACAATGACTCATTTTGATACTGAAGTTTTTTAGAAAATATGAAGTTGTTGATAACGATCATAATTTGTATTTAATGTAAAGTAGTTAGTAATGCTCGGGAAGTGATTCAGTAAGTGGTTTAAATACCTGTGATTGGTAATCCAATTGGTTGCTGTGGCAACTAGTTCACTTAGGAGCCATCGTCAGGCTACAACTACAAGGATAATGTCGGTTCTTCTGCAGTTCATCATAAAATCAGTAAATGGTACAGTACAGATTCCCTGACTCATCAAAAACAATATAAGCATATTTAGTGACTTAATTTATTTTAGTTTTTCAAATATCTGTTAAGAAGGAAAAGTTAGTTTTTAATACAAAAAATAAAAAGAGGACACCCAATTATTAGCGAATTACCCATATGAATAAGCTATTACCGTAGTACTCATGGTAAGACCTGGACCTGGGACAGATTAACTTTTTCGTTTTGAGGTCCCTAGAGGCAAAAAAAAACCACCATCTGTTCCAATTCATATATATATATGTGTGTGTGTCTGTTAGCACGATAACTCGAGCAAAAATGATCCGATTTTGATGACATTTGGTATAAACGTGTAAACCTACATTTATTTAAACGAGTTCGCGAACCAGCATGATCGGACTTGGGAACGGGGTTTTATGGGGTAGAAATAGGTTTTTCTCATTTTTGTCCCTAAAAACACAAAATTTCACAATTTATTTCCAAACCATTTTGTAGAGCTTTAAAAAACAAATAATTTAGTATATTGAAGCGTTTTGTGCGCCTAATGGTTACAGATAAAATTCCAAAAAATTGTAAATTTTAAATTCCCACGTTATTCTTATGGAGAATAAGTCAACTCTTGCAGTTTGCTTGTTTATGAACACATTTAGATCAAATTTGGAAAATGCATTTTCTTATTACTAAACTATTATTATAAAAATACCACTTTTACCCTTTCTGTTGCAGCAAACCTAAGTACTCGTTAAACTAATTATATTTAAATAGTGGATAAATGTGATATTTTTAAGGAGGCATTTTAGTTTAAATCCAATCAGGGAAATGTAAATTTGTTTAGTCTGCAGGTTTACTGCAGGGGGGGTATTATTATTATTATTTTTTTTTTCTTAAACCATAAAACCACACTAAAAATAAATAATGCAAAGTGAATGCATCAAATCACATTTGATCTCATCAGATTTCAGTCTTAGTTTCATGGCATTGCACCCAACTGCATGAGGGAGTTAAAAAGCAACAAATATCCATTGCCTTGGACAGAGTACTTGGCTGTTGTTTTGACCTTGTTTAATCATCTTGGTACATGTTGACATGTAGTCATAGTTGTCTTGGTGGCTCATACGACCAATAACAGGGTCTGCGATCACTCAAGTGAAGAATTATTAGATTTTAGAAGAGGGGAACGGAAATAAATTTGCGGAATGAAAAGTACGGATTGAAAAGTAGCAAATTTTACTTGGGGTTTCTGAAAAGACGGATTTTACTGTTATTAAGCAGAGCAGAAGTTAGATTAGGAATTTAGGTGAGAAATTTAGATGTTTAGTATTATTTAGTTCACAAAAATTAGAAGGGTATAATGGAAATCACTGAAAAGTCACACATTTTCCTGAAAATACATTTTAATTGGGACTAATGGTAAGCACTGAAAAAGTGCTTTTACTGGGGTCGAGGGAAGTGCCAGAAAAATCATATAGATTTGTTTGGGGGTTAGGGGTATTATTACAAAATCGCAAGTCTTACTAGAGGGGTTACGGAAATAACTTAATAATCAACAATTTTACAAGAGGGCAGTACAAATTACTAAAAATCTGATTTTACTAGGGGTGACGTAGCTAAAGTCACATATTTTACTGTGGAATAGTGAAAAAGCACTGAAAAGTCAGGTATTTTTGTAGGTAGTAACTGAAGCTACTGAAAAATCGCAGATTCGGTATGGGAGTAAATGAAGTTATTGTAAAGTCATACTATTTACTATTGGTAGTTTTAATTAGTAAAATGCCTCTGATGTTTGTTGGAGGTTAGAGAAACTACTGAAAATTAACAAAGTTTAGTGGGTGATAATGGAAGGAAAGCAGAATAGGTCTCTAAGACAAAGAAAGCTTTTTAAGCATTGAAGAATTCTGTAATAAAAATGCTAAAAGTTCTTAGAAGTTTGTCAAATTTTAATTCCCTTGTTATAGATATTGATTGTAATAGGTCATTATTTGTGTGGATCAGTGTGCACAGCAAATAGACTTTCAATCTTTGTTTTTTGAAAAATAAATTTGTAAGTGGGTCTGGTTCAGCTAGTAAAGTAAATTTTTTTTTATTTTTAAATGTTTTTCCCTGTATCAAATCCCCTAAAAATAACGGTATCAGCAATCTGACATATACTTTCTCCCATTAGCTTGTTGACAACTCTTATTGAAAGGTCAGCGATGGGAGTAATCATGATATTTTAAAGGAAAAATCACAAAAGATGCAGCAACTTTAGAACCGTAATCTTAAAGCAATAGGGGTTGTACTGTTTCGTTTAGAGTTAAAGAGACAAAACTTTAATCAAAATTGTTTAAGGTGTTTTTCTAAAAATCTGAATTTTCTATTTTACGGGGTTTCATGGGAAAAAATTGTCATTAAAAACTCAAATTAAAGAAAAAAATTAAAAAAAAACTGCCTGGGATACCAAAGATTAGCACCACCATACAGAAATTGGGTGTGGTTTATAGTCTGTATACAAATCCACACACATATCACTTCATAAACAACTTTTTTTCTTCATGGGGCGTAAAAAAAGCCCCATTGAGCGATTGCTGCTCAAAACTCCAATTAAAAAAAGGTTAATGAAAACAATAGGCCTACTTTCTCCATAATACTATGTAGGTAGAAAAAGTAAACAAACAAATTAACAATTACCATTCTTGACAAAAATTACCTAGAAATTTGGAATAGCAAAACCTAACAATGCAACTGCAAGTGACAGATGAAATGTCACCTTAATTAGAATGAACTCAATGAACTTAATTAGAATGCCACTCAAAACTCCAATTAAAAAACGTTAATGAAAACAATACTTTCTCCATAATACTATGTAGGTGGAAAAAGTCAACAAACAAATTATCAATTACTATTCTTGACAACAAATAACCTAGAAATTTGGAATAGCAAAACTTTACAATGCAACTGCAAGTGACAGATGAAATGCCACCTTAATTAGAATGAACTCAATGAACTTAATTAGAATGCTACTCATAACTCCAATTAAAAAATGTTAATGAAAACAATACTTTCTCCATAATACTATGTAGGTGGAAAAAGTAAACAAACAAATTATCAATTACGATTCTTGACAAAAATTACCTAGAAATTCGGAACCTTACAATGCAACTGCAAGTTACAGATGAAATGCCACCTTAATTAGAATGAACTCAATGAACTTAATTAGAATGCCACTCAAAACTCCAATTAAAAAACGTTAATGAAAACAATACTTTCTCCATAGTACTATGTAGGTGGAAAAAGTAAACAAATTATCAATTACCATTCTTGACAAAAGTTACCTAGAAATTTGGAATAGCAAAACCTAACAATGCAACTGCAAGTGACAAATGAATTGCCACCTTAATTAGAATGGATTCAATGAACTTAATTAGAATGCCACTCAAAACTCCAATTAAAAAACGTTAATGAAAACAAT